TTCCTTCTGCTTCTTCTTTGTCTTACACACAGCTACTGCAGATCTGACTGTAACTGCAGAGCTTGGACGAGTCTGCATGCCTGGATGTGGTATGGTATATGCTTGCTGAAAGAGAAGCTTGCCCTGTGGTGTTGACTTTCTTCCAATATGTAAGGCTTCAGGTACTGACAAAGGGACAGCAGCCAAGAGACACTCACACTCAGCTCATTTTAGGGAGAGACTTATCTGAGGGCCATCCAGAGCACAGATCAAACTTTCAGTACTCTGATTTGGTCTGAAGAAGAACTGACTAAAGGGGAGGTTGCTTCTCTCCATCAGCAACAGAGGGAGCTGAGTAAATATAAAATGAGGCTTTGAACTCACTGACCCCTACTTCCTAGGGGCAAGTAGTGCTAGGGGAAAGTGGAGAAGGGTTTATGTGCTGAATGTACAAGAAGAGCCTCCTGGAAGATCTAGGGAACTAAACAAGGCTCATTTCTTGCTTAATAATTGAAATCTTAGAGAGTAAATAAAAGAAGCTTTTCAGTGTTCAGGATGTGTTCCTGTGATGCCATTGCTGCTGGTCAGAAACTGCAATTCTACCTTCTGCTAATCAGAATACTAGAGCTGTTCAATAATACCTGCCCAGCCCAAGGAAACTCAGGTTCTAAAGCAAGGTGAGAACTTCCCTGCTTCAGTTTCTAGAACAAAAAGACCTGCATGCTGACTCTGCTAGCAGTGGTGAAGCCTGTGTGGTTCTGGGAAATCAGATATTTATTTCCTATGGGGTAGGATCCTGTGTAACCAGTCAATAAATCCAAGGCTGGATATGAGCTACAGTGGTAAACAGGCACCCTTTATAAAGGGAATGATCAACCTGACCTTTTTTAGACATTTCTTTTAGGATAAGATGAACAGTGCTGTAGAATGTCTCTTTATCTTCACTGACAAAAGGAAAACAGGGTGACTGGTTTAAATGTCAGTATTTGCACTGTCCTACTTAGTGTGGCAGATCTGCTTTTAGAGTACTGCTACTATGAAATCAGTGCCATTCTGAAAAGTACTTGACAAATATGCCTGTGTATGGTTTTAAAGGTATTGTTTCCATTAAAATCGTTTTTTCCAGTGACATCTCAGATGCCTAAGAAGTTCTCCTTTACAAAAACAGTTGTGACTCTACCTAGCAGTCATGCTACAGCAGGCTTGGAAGGAAGGAATAACAGGAGAGCTGAAATGGAAAAGAAACAGGTGAGTAACACAACATTCAAATTCACAAGTAGGGTATTTGGTTTCCTGATGTGTTTTTTTTAATCTTGTCTTTGGCCTGGAATCTGTTATGCAGATACTACCTCATGGATATGGAGAACAGTAACAAGAGGAGGTCCATTTAGGAAATGTCTGCTAGAGAAATGCCAGGAGCAATTGTTTCATTTATTTGATTCAGCTTCTCTCCCCTTCCTCCAAGCTACCTGCTGCAAACTAAAATTGAAACCAAGTTAATGAAGCCCGCAAGATATGTTTGTTACCTCTGAGGGAAAACGTGTTGTAAAAAATACGAATGAAAAGCATGAATGACTCAGTTTTCCACTTGCTTTAATAACCACTATGTGTGAACAAGATACTTTCTTCAGTTGTGCAGGATGTAGCTGTTCATTTTGTAATGTAGACAGAATGAGGTACTTTGAAAAATTTGCCAAAAAGTAGCTTTCTGAGAGTAAAATTTTTTCTCATGACAGTAGAAGGTCAGATTTTTGGCCAAGGATGAAAGTACACATGTGAAACAAAGACTTCAGATCACTTCCCATTTAGATGTTGTTTTCTACTGCTGTACAACTTATCCCTTCATTTTTCCTGGTGAACACTGATACAGCATTTAAAAGGTATTTTTAGGCATTGTTCATGGCTTTTTGGTCATCTTAAACAAACATATGCTTCAAGCACCCACCTAATTAATATTATTGAGAGGTTTCTGTGAGGGTATCAAGCTCAACTGCTAAGAAAAGGAGGTAGTGTTAGCACAGGTGGGCTAGCAGGCTTGTTGATTGGTATCTTATAATAATTGAACTCTTGAAGATCATTGGATGTTGGAAAAATACCTTGCTTTTTCATCAGTCTGTGGAATCTCGCCCTCGAGCCAATCACTTTCCTTTTTAAATAAACAAAATAATCTGCAAAGTCCTCCTTTCAGCAACAGTGCTTTCTTCCTTCATGCACCTCTCCATGGTCTGATTGAAGAGTCAGTGAATTTTAGAATTGTTAAAATGCACAGCTCAGTTGGTTTAGTAATCTTTCCCACAGAGAAATTTAATAAAACTTTTTTGTTGAGGTAATAAGAACTTTCTATGAAGTAATGGATGTAAAACATTCTTCCTTCCTTGAAATGTGATGTCTTTTAGAAGATGAGTACGTGTCACTGTCTTCACTCTTAGTCATAGAGTCCTCGAATGGTTTGGGTTGGAGGAGACCTTTAAAGGTCATCTAGTCTACTCCTCCTGCAATGAGCAGGGACATCTTCAACCAGATCAGGTTGCTCAGAGCCCTGTCTTTCCAGGGAAGGAACATCAACCTCTTTGGGCAACCTCTTCGGGCAACCTCTTCCAGTGTTTCACCACTGTCATTGTGAAAAATTTCTTCCTTATGTCTGGTCTGAATCTACCCTCTTTTAGTTCAAATTCATTACCCTTGGTCCTATTGCTACAGGTCCTACTAAAACTGTCTGTCCCCATCGTTCTTATAAGTGCCCTTTAAGTACTGAAAGGCTGCAGTAAGGTCTCCCTGGAGCCTTCTCTTCTCCAGGCTCAGTGACTCCAACTCTCACAGCCTTTGATGGAATCCCAGAATGGTAGGGGTTGGAATGGATCTGTGGAGATCATCTAGTCCAAACCTCTTGCTAAAGCAGGTTTACCTGCACAGGTTCGTATCGAGGCAGGATATGAATTTCGTGTATCTCCAGAGAAGGAGACTCCACAGCCTCTCTGGACAGCCTGTTCCAGTGCTCTGTCACCCTCACAGTAGGGAATTTTTTCCTCATGTTCAGATGGAACTTCCTGCATTCCAGTTTGTGCCTGGTACCCCTTGTTCTGTCACTGAGTGCCACTGTAAAGGATCTGACCCCATCCTCTTGACATCCTATCCTTTAGAAATTCTTGAACAGGAGAAAGTCTGCCTCTCTCCAGACTTTCTCTCTTACCTTCAGGGTCTGGGATTCCTGAGAACTGGCTTCAGCAGTAAAGACTGAAGCAAAGAAGCCATTCAGCAACTCCACCTTCTCTGTATTCTCCATCACTAGGGCATCCACCTCATTCAGCAGCAGGCCCGCGTTTTCTCTAGTCCTTTTGCTGGTGATGTACTTGAAGAAGTCCTTCTTCTTGTCCTTGACATCCTTTGCCAGATTTAATTCCAACTGGGCCTTAGCCTTTCTCACTGTATCTCTGTATACATGGGTATTGTTCCTTTATTCCTCCCAGTTGGCCAGTTCTTTTTTACACATTCTGTAAACATCCTTCTTCCATTTGAGTTTTTTAGAAGCTCCTTGTTCATCCATTTCCTCATAGGAGAGGTGCTCCAGAATGTCTGATCATTTTTGTGGCCTTCTTCTGGACCCGGTCCAACAGGTCTATGCCTTTCCTGTACCAAGGCCTTCAGAGCTGGATGCAGTACTCCAGGTGGGGTCTCACCAGAGTGGAGTAGAGGGGCAGAATCACCTCCCTCAACCTGCTGGCCACACTTCTTTTGATGCAGCCCAAGACAAGGTTGACTATCTGGGCTGTAAGCACACATTGCCAGCTCATGTCCAGCTTTTCATCCACCACTGCCCCCAAGTCCTTCTCTTCAGAGCTGCTCTCAATCCCTTCATCCCCCAGCCTGTATTGATACTGGAGACTGCCTGAACCCAGGCGCAGGACCTTGCAGTTGGCCTTGTTGAACCTCCTGAAGTTCCTACTGGGAACCTACTGAAGTTCCATGGGCCTACTTCTTGAGCTTTTCCAGGTCCCTCTGAGTCACATCTCATCTGTCGGGCTTGTCAGCTGCACCAGTCAGCTTGGTGTAACCTGCACATTTGCTGAGGGTAGACTTGATCTCACTGTCTGTGTTGCTGATGAAGATGTTAAAACAGTACTGATTGAAATATGAACCATGTGTCAGTCTTCCCTTTGTCCATCTTTCTTCTCTACAGTGAAGTGACTTGCCTGGAATTAAACTGTAATTTACAAGCAGAAGTTGAGTTAGTACTAAGATATCCAGTGCTCTACATGAAGGAACAAAACCATTTCCTAAAAGTGTGATGTGGGGATCTTTGAGATAACTTTCTGGGATGACCAAAACCCAGGTTCTTTCTATAACTATTTGCAAGTCAGTCTTGGCAAAAAACATATAAAAATATCTTAATCTTCTTAGATATAGTAATTAAGGACTGTTTAATTTGTGCTGCCTGATAGCATAAAGGGATGGGATGCACTGAAACCAAAATCTCATATTCCAGTGAATGTGTGTGGTCTCTCTGTGAGCCAAAAGATTACTTCCTTGTAAACACAATTGATTTTCCACAGAAATGTCTGCACTTCGAGGATGCAGATCCAAGCAATCTGATTAGCTTTCTGCCAAGTTGTCTGTATAAATCATACAGAAAGTGCCTTTAAAAGTTGGAGGCCTGCTGTAGAACAGCTGGGGTATATAAAAGGAGGAACACTTTTTTCCCAGCTGTGATTTTGAAGACATTTCTTACCATGGTCGCAACAGGGTTTTGAAGAAGAGTAACACTGACTGTGCTTGAAAGGATAGATTTCACAGACATTGGAGGAAGAGCATAGTAATCTTGAGTGGCTGGTAAAAACATAAGCTGCATTTTCACCTGACTGTAGATAGAGAATTACAGACCAGACAGACAACTGGTATCAAAGCATTCAACTCGGTGAACATTGTGAAGAAATGCATAGTACTAGGTACTGGTGAAGAGATTAATTTCTTGTGTGAGCTGATCTGAGCCTTTACCTGATTCTTGGCTAGAGGCCTAAGCTATTTTTTTTAAAAAAAGAAAGTTCAACAATTCATATCTCACTTTTCTCATCTTTGTCTGCTGCATCATCTACTTATTTGACACCCATGGATATGATAATGTAATTTAAAAAATCTTACTCCTCTTGAGCAACCTTGTGAGTATTTTCAGTTTCATATTGTAATACTGATTTAAGGAATGGGGCCCTGGTTTGGGAGAGGACTGTAACATCCAATAGGTCTCATGCAGGAATCAATGGCCCTCCAGTGTATGCACCAGGAAAGTGATTTTCCTTCATAGAACAAGCCTGAGGCATCAGACTGACTTTCTGCATGGAGAAAGCATGGCATTATATTCTGGTAACGTTAGCCCAAATGCCAATTCAGAAGAGCACAAGGGGACACTAAGGTTTGGCAGGTGACTGGTGTTAGTACCTACAGGTATACAAGGCCTGGGACCTCTTTCCTGGTAAGGTGTCCATGTTCAAACAGCTTCATTAAAGTCTGTGTGACCCTTAGCAGTGAATTGGTATTTTACAGAAGGGAAGATGTGCTCAAGTTAAAGAACATGATTTGAACACTGGTGTTTTGTATTTGTTACTCATCTCCCATCCAAAAGCCAAATTGCTTTCGAGCTTTTATGTAGCAAGTAGTGATCCCTCTGATGAGATTTGTGTTATCCATGATGCTTAAATGTGTTTTTTGACAGATTTCTTCATTCAGTCACGTTTTCACTTCAGTGTATTGGCAGAAATGTTCTTCTCATCTTCCACTAGTCCAGGAGGTTGGATTTAGCATTGCAGAAAGTGGTGATGTGAAGGTCTGTGAAAATACCAATTGCGCCTGGAAAGGTATGTTCCAGTATAGTGAATATTTCCATGCACACTGAATAGTAAGGTACAGCAGGCTGCATCTACACTGGAAAAGCAAGTGCATTTACCTGTTCCTGCAAGTGTTACAGAATCATGTGAAGTGGCCGAAATCTGCACTGCTTGGGGCTATTTCTAGAGTTCCCACTGCCTGCAGCAAGGTAGTACTCCACCTCTTCCACTGTGATTATCCCCTAGTATTTCACCTGGCTCTCCGTTGGGCCCCATCTGATGCACTGGTCACCCTAAATTGCTCATTTGCTTTCGGCTTTTCAGTTTCAGAAACCTACAAATAATGTAGGGTTGGGCTGCAGAATGGGTACAGGCTATGTATCGTGTGGACTGCTGGGTACTTGAGAGTGCAAGACATGCAGAGATGATAGGGTCTTGTTGCTCCTAAATGTAGTTAATGTAGCTGGAGCAAACTGTCCCTAGCACTGCCTCTGGTTTCATCTGTGTAGTAGTTGGTTAATTTGCTCCAAAAGGTATCCTAGAAACAAATAAGCATAAGGGAGTGAGAATGATCAGACAACTGGAAAAAAGGTGGGATGTGAGGAGCTAACCTGTAAAATAATACAAATATTCCCAGAGTTATTTGAGTATGAGACAGTTCATTAAATATAAGACCAGTATTATATTATGTTCTGTCTTGGACAGATAATTTGTTTTGGTGTTCTGGCTGTTTCTGTGCATGATGGGTTCTTGACAGTCAGGAGCTGATTCATGCTCATGTTAAAACTGTGTGACATAGCTTCTTTAAAAATTCACACTTCATCTCCTGAAGAAGAAATTTGTGACTGTGTAATAGATTCATATATTCCTGTGTTGCTTTTCTCCATGCAAAAAAGACTAATTTCAGAGCAGTCGATAGCAACAGGATAGGGATTTGTCATAGTGTTCTATTCTTGATGGCAAATTAACACTGCTATCAGGAATACTGGGTTTTATTCCACCCACCTACTAATTGATAAAGTGGTCTGATGTGACAGTACTGACTACTTACCACTTCCTGAGTCTCATTTTGAGAAGTGACGCTGGCATGTGAGAGCTGAAATCCTCTCAAAAGTCAGTGATATCTGCTAGTACCCAGGCAAAATAGCACAAAATGGTGTAATGAAGCTTAATTTCCATTAATTAAAAAGCCTGCTACACACATTCATGTGTCTGTGAAGTACATGAATGGAGCTGAAAGTGTGATCCATATGAATTTGGGGTAGATTAATTGCTCATGAAGAGACATCTGAAATGAGTTACAGAGATGTTTTGATCCTTTATATATCGCTACTCCATACCAGCTACCAATGTTAAAGAAGAAAAACATTTTCAGAGTGTTTCAGAAGTGTTGACATTCATTCAACTGTTACAATTAAGTGCCTTAGTCTTCCTGAATTCTCTCACTTTGCTGGGTTCTGAAAGGCTTGATAAAGTTTTCAATAAATAACTAAAAATCTAGATATTACAAGTACAGATTTTTCTGTACAAAGGAATCTCCTTTCAGTGATATTAGACCTTTTTAGGGTTAAAATTCAGTGTTACATATCTTCTTGGGCAGTTCTGAGAAGGTAATTCCTGCAAGTCTACTTGATTGTTTAACTCCACAACATTTTTGATACAGAAGAAAATAACTGACTTGCTTCTTTTCCATCTTCAGTCTTTAAATAAAGAGCTGAGAGTGTAAACTTTTGTTGTCTGGCAGAAATGAATTTTCGATTAGAAGTTTGGATTTGAATTTGGAGAACAGAGTAGGGAAGGACTGTGTAAAGTAACTTCTCCACAATTTGCCATTGGACCTCTATATAGGATGTTTGTATGTATTTAAGTTACAGACTACAAAAACTCTGTCAGTGTTTATTTTTTTTTGAACAGAGAAGGTTGGTTATAGAGGTAAGTAATGTCTTCAGCCCTTGAAACTTTTGATATTAATTCTAAATACTCCTCTCTGAAGAATAATTCAAAACCAAAGTCAAAACACAGAAAAAAGTGCAGAAATGTGAATCTCCAGCTTTCTGCTTTGCACATTGCAGCAAGAATTTCTTAAGCATAAAAATATAGCATTAAATGATTCACAGTGCTAATGATCTGGCTTTTTTCCTATGTCCTTGCCACATAATGTAGACAGTGACCACAAAGGATGACTCTTCTGCTTGTTCATACTTGTATTTGCTTTTGTTTCTTGCTTATGTGTTGTCACAAGCTTAGTGTGCTGTGATCAAAGTACGTGTGCTTTAAAACCCTTTTCCTGTGGTTAGGTATTGATGGCGAAGACCTTTTGGTGGGAAATTAACATGAGAAAGGAAAAAAAGTTACTTGCTGTTTAGGGGATTTTGAAGTGGAAGACCACTTATGAAACATTATGCTACTAACAACTTTTGACAGAAAATTAAGGCAAAAAACCCCACAAAAACCCCATGTAGTGTGTTGAGTACAGTTTAAACAAAATACAGTGGACCCTATTTTCTGTTCTAGCTGACTGAACCCATGGAGGTTTGAAGAGGTGATAAAAGGAGGCTTCCACCTAGTTTAGTGTGTCTATTATTTTGAACCTACTCATAAATTAGACCCTTCTGGCCTCTGAACCATTGAGACACAAATATAGTGAGAATGTGAAAGGTTTAGGCCTAAGAAAAAACGATGGTGTTTTACATTACTGATTTGTGTGTGATTAATCTTCAAATACAGGGTGCCAAAAGGGGACCCAGAATGAGTTTAGAGCTGTAACCATCATGAAGGCTTCCGTACCATTGGAGCCAGAATTGAGGTTTCATATTGCTGGCTTGCGCAATGATTACTGTAAGTTAATTTCTCCTGTGTGATGGTTTTTGCAGAGACTTTTAAATTCTTATCTATGTTTCCAGAAAGATGGTGAAGATGTGTCCCCCTTCACATAGGTGTAAACTTTGCAGGACATAAGCATGATGTAACTTTTCTTGCAATGATCCATTTTTGAAAACTGACTGTCTCAGGATATAGACATGACTGATCAAACCCTAAAATCAGTACTACCTATTTCTCATGCAGTAATACCTAACTGCTCATGCAGTTTCCTTAAGCTATAGATTTCAATATAATTTTCAAATCAAACAATATACTTACCTCCACTTAATTAAGTTAAATTTTTCAGCTGTTAGCCTTGGATATGTAGTAGCCAGCCAATGCAGCAGCACCTTTATTGAGCAGACTTTGAAATCTCTTCTTTTGGGAAACATCAGTGACGTTGTTTGTGGTTTAGATGATAGATACCTTCAGAACTAAGTACCCACTTATGTCTTTGGTGGTGCACAGGCAAAAATTAAACATGCACAAGTTACTCACGAGCACACGTGGATCTCTGGTCTGCAGCAACAAATGCATATTTTAACACTTCATAACTTCTGATGAACAACTTTGTATGTTAAAGTATTCCTAATTGTCTCTGTGGAGGTTTTCCAAAATAGCCCTGCAAGCATTCATGTATGTCTGTGAACTGGACATAGGTTTGTTTGTATGAGTTACCTTGTGCACAATCAGTGTATGTCTCAAGACTAACAGCACTAACAGAAGTATTTGGAAGTGATTTTTTTAATATTCTGGCTGCAACAACAAAGACTGTAGTAAAAAAAAAAAGTCTTGATGGATTCAGCTGTTCTTCAGAGTGATTTCAGTTACCAAAATATGATGTCAGACCTTGGCCTATGGTAACAGTCTTCCATGCTTCAGGGCTCATCATAAATGACTTTGAAGCTGTCCTAAATTGACAGCTGAGGATTTCCTCTGACGTGGGAGAATGTCCTGGGTTGGTATTAAATGTTGTATACCAACCTCATAGCCTTTTACGAGGATATA